GGGCCACAACAACATCGTGCGCTGCATCGTGCACTCGCCCACCAACCCCGGCTTCATGACCTGCAGCGATGACTTCAGGGCCAGGTTCTGGTACCGGAGGTCAACTACAGACTAGAGCCCCCCGCCTTAAATAGGGTTCTTTTCTAGAGGACCCTGCCCCTCCCTCCCATGTGTCCCATCACCAGCCTCAGTAGAAAGTCGTGGTACCATCTTTGGCAGTCGGGCTGCCACCTCTACATCCTTCTTGGATTTTGTACAGAAGGGTCCTTTTTTACCTTGATGTGGAATCATGGTGGAAAAAGTGGGAAACGCAGACCCCTGCTCTGCACTCACTGATTATTACAGTGTGATTTTCATCGGTTTTGTAAATACAGGACTTGCCATTTCTCTGAACTTGATCTTTTGAAGAAGGGTAGAGTATTAAAGTGCTTTCCAGATCTCGTGTGGATCTGTCCTGAGGAATTCTCATTGGGCTCTTTTATCATCTTCTGTGCCTGTTCCACATCCTCTCTGTGTTTTCCTTTCCATTTTGACCGATGAGTAGGCATACCTTGAGAATCGAGTTTCGTGCCCTATTAAACCACTTTAGAGAATCAGTTCTCTGAAAGGACATCCTAATAATAAAGCTCAGACCTGCAACTTTACTGTTACACATTTTCACTTCAATAACATCAACGGCCAGTTTTCCTGAAGATTACAGGAGCATCTTTCATCAGACCTCCCACATTACCTTTCATACCTGCAGTGCTCGTCTTCAATAAATGCACTTCCCATCAAATGGCGTCATTTGATGGGAAGCATAGATTTGGAGATTATATCCCATCTAATCGGAATTAGGTGGTCCCACCACTGCCTTCAGGTGTTGCTTGTCTTCATGAATGGCTAATATTGATTGGCTTTGTTCTTATGTAACTTTAAATCTTATTTTTCAGCCTGAACCTTAACTACTCATCCTGGACGCACAAGGCAACTGTGTTCTCAGAAGATATTTGCAATTAACTGACTGATACAAGTTTTCTTTTTCTTGAAATTTTTTTAGAAGGTGACAATATTTCTTTGTGTTGAGCTCTAGCTGGGTCAAAGAACCCAAACTCCCCTCACTAAGATATCTTTGGTTTATATTTATCCCCAAATACATATACCTCATGATCTGGGTGGGAGCACCTAAAAATATAACCTGGGAATATTAGGTAAAAAGTATGAAATAGAGTAATGTAATTTTCTTTCGTTACAGGAATTTTAAAATCTGATGATGATTGCATAAAAATCCTGCTTTAGTCATCATCCTTAAGGATCATTTTAATTCTTTATAAAATGATTTTAAGCCTTCTTAACGAGTTAAATCACAGCTTTTGTTCAGGTTTACAAAGACCTATATTTTGTGCTGCATAGTGAGTAAACTTATTTTATGTCCTGATTCCCTGGTATTTGAACTAGGACATCAAAGGGTGCTGCTTTTGTAAGATTAAAAGAAACCAGTTGACTAGAAACAAAGATAACCAGTTCTACCAAAAAAATTACCAAACATGGCTTCCCACTTCTTTTTCTGGCTTTTCTTTTTCTTACAACCTGTGAAACTAAAGGAGAGGTTGGCGTTTCCGCATTGTTCTGCTCTGGCACACACCCTGGGATGCCCGCTCTACACTCTGCATGTAAGTCCCGCTGGATCCTTTAACTGTTCATTAGTTAAGATATAATACCTACTTTTTCCAGTTTTTGGAATAGTCTCAGCAATGGGATCTGTAGTTTCAGGACTTCTGTTTACAAGATCAAGATACTTTTGTGTGTTTCCAAAATGAACTTTCTAACATAGGGTTTTGTGGTTTTGTTATTTTTTCTTTAAAAAATTACCTTAATGTTTTGAACTGGTATAAATGCCATGAGTATTTCATGAACTTGGTATCTGCACATAATTAATTGTACCACACCACCCTGGCATTCAAATGGTGAATAATACCCAGTCAGGATAAGAATTTAAAACTATGTTATTTTTTAAAGATACGTGATTTCTAAAATAAACTTTTTGTATATAATGATAATTTAAAGCTAGTTCATTGTTTTGGAGCTTGCTTGCTTTCAATGTTTTTATAATTATGACTTAACTGTTACTTTTCACACTTTAGTGCTTTGTTCTGGAAGTCAGGTTTTTGTAGTTTAATCACCTTTAGCTGTGTATCTTTGCTCTTCTACTCTATGAATTTAAAAACTTGGGTATAGTTCCATTTATTTAGGTCATTCAGAAAAACCTGCCTTTTGCCTTAAGCATTGGTTTCCCTTGTTCAAGGGGGGGTGGGGGTGACGTGCTAGGTAGGAGGGTAGCCTGGGGAGGGAGGGGAGATAGACAGGAAGGCAGCCTTTCCTCTTCAAGACCTCAGCTTCCTTTTCTGTGATGAAAGAGCTTCATCAGAACCATCCTCAGCGTGCACTTGAGTCAGGGAAGCTTCTTTTATAAACACATCTTCAATTATTCTATACTAGAGGCCCGGTGCACAAAAATTTGTGCACTGGGGGGGAGGGGGGTCCCCCAGCCTGGCCTGTGCCCTCTCGCAGTCTGGGACCCCTCGGGAGATAACGACCTGCTGGCTTAGGCCTGCTCCTGGGTGGCAGAGGGCAGGCCCAATCCCTAAGTGCAGCCCCTGGTC